GCAGACCACAGACACCCTCATCAAAACTTTTGTCCAGACGCAGACAGCTCAGGGTAAGATTCTCTCTCTGTTGTTGGTAAAGTTGGTAAAGTCCAAAGGGACTGCAGGTCTGGACTTTTCTCCAAGAAGGTTTTCTTCAGACCATTCCCACCAGCATGGAAATATTGCTAAGAGTTAAAAACAAACAAACAAAACAAACACACACAAAAAAAGGAAGAAGGTTAAAGAAGAACTGCAATCTTCACTTACTGTGATGCTTTGCAGATGGAATGGAAGAGCAAAAAATGACAAAAAAATAGCTTCTGCACTGGAAATCTCTATCTGAGATCAGCTAATACTGCTCACTCATGGCTTTCTTCTCCCCAGACTCTTAAATATAAATATACCAGCTCCAAACATGCGCCAGTTACTTGAGCCCGTTCAAGTTTACACAAATGTGGCAATATGACTCACTTGGTGCCTTTATTGCTGTAACAGCAGCAACAAATTGCTGGCATTTCCTGAACTGGGACAGGCACTATCCTCCCAACCAGTATTTGAGGATGAAGCAAGGGAAGGACAGAGACAGAAGTGAACCACTTACTTACTTTGATAGTATCCAGTGCAAGATCCAAAACAGCACACTGCTTTGGAGTGAGACTTCTACTTTCTTCTCTCACCATATGATCCTGCAAACAATTACATGTGATATCTTTATGCTGTTGCCAGCGTCATATCTTTCTCTGGATTCATGCTGTGGCTATGGGGCCATAGTGTTAATTCAGCTGTTTAAGGAACACTTAAGAATCTTTCAGAGCCATCACCTATTACAGCTGAACTGGAAAACAAACAATTCCTCTGCTTCTTGTAGGCAAAGAGAAAAATACAGAAAGAACTGGACAGATATAACAAATGACATTTTTAAATCACAGTTTGTCACTCAGGAAACCCAGAGAGGCGCCTGTCTGCTATTCCTGTCATACAAGAAGAGCCACAACAGAGCCCTCAGAGTACCACCTAAAGCAACAGATTCTGTGAACCACAAAATAGACAAAATTGTTTCATGTTTTTGCAGATTTAAATCCTCCATCTACAAAGATCACTACTTCATCATATCATTAGTGTAATGGGAAAAATCAGACAAACAACATGCTCCAGAAAATACCTTTGTGAAGAGAAAAAGACATTCCCATTAAGATTCACCACCTCTAATTATCAAAGTCAGGTAGCTTTGGGAAGCTTCTCTTTCTTGCAGTTGGAGCATATCACTGTTATACACCTTCCTCTGTGTTTTCCCCACCATCACCAAGCACACGGTTCCATGAGATTAGAGGAATGCTGCTGCCCAGCGCTGGAATGCCTGCATGTATATTCAACAGCTTGAGAGGAACTTCAAAAACAATCCTTGTTTTCTGGGCCCGTCATTGAATTTTAGGACTCCTTTATTTTTTTTCTTCCTAGTATTCTCACCAGGATGTGATTTTTATTGTTTCATGCAGATTGGGCATGCGAGCCTGATGTTAGTTTGCCTTAATATTATCAGTTTTAACTGAAAAGCTGGCTATGGAAGGTGCACTGTGGAAAGGATACTGTCTTGCTGAGACCATAAACCAAAGGAGGTGCCAAGAAAAACCTAATCTGTGTGTATTTTTGGGTGTAGATTTTCTTCCAAAAGGATCTGGTGTGGATGATCCTGTGAGTGAAGTATCTATACAGATCGACTTGTATTCACATCCAGGAATTGGGGAACACAAGGTCACCGTGAAAGGTATGAGAAAGCCTGCATTACTACTCAGCATCTGTGGTTGTATCAAGGCAGATTTCCAGTCTTGGAAGTCGTTATACTTTGGGGCTAAACCATGCAATGAAAATTTAGAATTGTCTATCCTATTTCACAACAGGAACATGTAGAGAAACAACTGAGCTTGCCCAGCCCAGGCAGTGACATGGCAATGTACTGTCCTGTTGTTTATTGGCAGCAATATAGGAAGTAAGCAAAAATCAGATGGCAGCCCTCACCAGGCCCCAGAGCTGAGCATGTGCTGCAAAGCACAGGGCAGCAAGACAGAAAAGACTTGCAAAATAGCTCAGCATGAGTCATGAGATTGCAGAGATACTAGGAGTTCAGAAGCTGCTCTATGTCTTGAAGGCCAAACTGGTCCCTGAAAATAGCCTAAGCGCAGTGATTTATCCCAGGCTTCCTCTTCCTCTTTGGTCTCCCTTGCTTGCCTATAGCCTACTTAGCTTGCTTAACTTTCTCTAAAAATATATATAAACAGCTCTTCAAGGCTCTCTTCTCCAGGGTAAATCTAAACTGTAATGTAAAAAGTGGCTTTCATAGATACTCCCTGCACTTCAGTCTTCCCCTGCAATAACCTGGGAGTGGATGAGGAATAAAGAGCTAATAATTTGGGGTTTTCCAAAGCTTTCTGGAAGAACCCACAGAATATATGCTTTGCTGGTCTTACCTGCAATATCATTTTGCCTTTTAACAGACTTCTATATCAAGCCCCAAGTGCCTTATTTTTTTCCTCATTGTGCAGCTGATCTAGCGTCAAGCACAGAACTAGCAGGGCAACCTGCATGGAGTTGCACAAATGCCTGTTTCTCCGACTAATTTTTTGAATCTACACATAGCAAAAGCCAATTTCTGTCTCAAGTAAAATTCTCTTTGAGGAGCTATAAACAGGAGCAAAAAAGCCTGTCGTAATCCAAGACAGCCCTGCCCATGTGTATCGGGACCCTTGCGTGTTTTAGAGTGAACTTTGTCCTCTGGATCAGGGAATTGTGAGTTGATGGGAGCTGGGAAGGCGCCCAGAGTGACAGGGACAAATGAGCTTTTATTGGAAAGCAGGCTCTGACTCTGTCTTCCAGTTGTGGCAGCCAACGACCTGAAGTGGCAAACATTCGGCATGTTCCGTCCATTTGTTGAAATTACCATGATTGGGCCCCATCAGAGTGACAAGAAGAGGAAGTTTACAACCAAGTCCAAGAGTAGCAACTGGGCTCCCAAATACAATGAAACTTTCCACTTGTAAGTATGAAAAATAGCCTAAAGATCTGACCTGGAAGGTGCAGATGCTGAGCACACATAGGACCCTCCAGTTCAGGAAACAGCTTGGCCAGCACCGAAAGGGCTACTCAAGCCAGCAGCTTGGCCCCACATTTGGTGTCCTGTCCAGAAAATCTAGAATATGGGAGTTTTTGCTGTGAATGAGATGCTGTCAGCAGCGTCCTTTGGCTACTTTCTGAAACACATTGGGTATCCTATCAACATATTTCACTGTGCTCCATCATTTTAATGAACTTGATATCTTTTGTTTGTAGGGCTGAGGCTAAAAGTTCATTGTGTATTTTGGATTTGTTTTTATAAACTAAATATTTGTTTCTGTCTTGATTTGACCTGCAGGACATGCTTTCTGAGTCTATTTCCAAGGATACAGCCCTTAGATTTAGTAGTGTTTATGTGGCTACAATTACAGCCTTTCTAAACACTGAATATTGACCTCTTCTTATTTGGCTTTCATTCTTACAAGTTATCTTCCTTCTTGGAAGACTCAACAAAAGGAGCTACAGACCAGTGTTCTCCTAACTGTACAGTAAGAATGAGAGGAGTAGCAATGACCAGCAAAAGATTATAAACATATTGAAAGAGAGGAACTATCCATATAATTTTTTATTGCTTCTGACAGGTTTCCTTAACTGAAGAGGTTTTCATGCCTTTTTCTCTTTAGAGGTATCAGAAAGATTGGTGGTTTAATTTTATTAGCTCTTGCATTGTTGGAAGGTCTGAATCTTTAACAAAGACTTCATGTAATTAAAATATTAATTACTGAAATTGTTGAATTAAAATATTAATTACTGAAATGAAGCAATCTTTAGCACAAGCAGAAATGTTTCAAATTATCTGACTTGAAAATATGATTAGCATGGCTTTAATGTTCTCTGCTTCTCTCATTTCACAGTTTAGCACAAAAGCACATGCAAAGGCAAGCTGAAAAGCACTGTTGGCTTTTTCTTTTTCAATATCCAGGTTGTCTTTATCAGCCATGAAACAGCAAAAACACCTATATACCATGTATTTCACTTCTCTCTCTAACTGTGGTCTTCCTCCCCTTACCCACTTCCCCAAAGCTGGATTTTGTAGTTTTTTTTTTCCTATGAGCTCCAAGTGTGTGTGAAGGACTACTGCTTTGCTCGGGAGGATCGAGTGCTGGGTATAGCAGTGATGCAGCTCAGAGACATAGCGGACAAAGGAAGCTGTGCCTGCTGGTGCCCACTCGGGCGCAGGATTCACATGGATGAAACCGGACTCACGGTCCTGAGGATTCTCTCTCAAAGAACCAATGATGAAGTTGCCAGGGAATTTGTGAAGTTGAAATCTGAATCTCGTTCCACAGAGGAAGGGACCTGAGCCGAGCTGTGTAATGTTCCCTTTTCTCTTCTGCCTTGTGCCAATATATGCAAGTGTTCAACAATTCTCTCATTAATTACGAAAGGTTTTTCATGTTGTCTTTGTCAGATCCGATAGCGCACGTGTGCTGTACAGGAAACAAATCCATCAATCTGATGTGAATTATTTATTTTTTAGTAGCTGGATAAGACACTATAGAGAATGAGACAATCTCTTCTTATTTAAGATGCACATTCTGCTTTGTGTATATACATTATTTTATACCAGAGGCTGGGTATGCTGGGTTTTGTTGATACGCAGCACTGTGATTTTATCCTCTGAAGTTGGCAGATGTTGAAAAGGTTCTACATAATCACACTACAATACAAGCCAACTACATGGAAGCTGGGAGGCAAAGCAGTTATTCCTCCTTGAATTCATGTACTGTGGATCTGCCAAGGGATGTTCTTGCACAGATTATTCCAGTGCCCCAATGTGATATGCAGACACTGCAATGTCTACTTAAAAAAGTAGTTGTGTGTTGCATTGAAGATGCACACCAAATGAATGCATGACCATGAATGTGCTGCTGTGAGCATGGGCAAGACCAGTGTGTGAAAATGTTGCAGTTTGAAAGCCGTAGTGGTAGTGGTGGTGGAGGGGGAAAGGAGATATCAAATCAGTATCGGATTCACAAATAGTCTGTGGACCGTAGGTCCGATCGCCTTCCTAGGAGCGAATCAAGTTCCCAAATAGCGTAATCACCTATAAGCTCGACTCTGGCAGTATCGGATTCACAAACAGTCCGTCAACTGTAGGTTCGATCGCCTCCCCCCAAACAAGTAGTTGAGTTCACAAACAGTATGATTTATTCAAATGCAACATTTACAAAGCAGGTTTCGGATGTCAGTACAGGAAATTCTCTACTAGAGCGTGGGGTTTTAGCTAGCTCTGATGTACAAATGTGCAATCATCACTCACCCCAGTCAGGTAGCTTTGGGAAGCTTCTCTTTCTTGCAGTTGGAGCATATCACTGTTATACACCTTCCAGGCCACAAGGATGCTTCATCCTTGGGGGTTTCACTGAGCTCTTTGGTGCTGAGTCTAGGTCTTAGGGAAAAGTGGCACATTTTAGGAAGTAGGTTTGCACAGACCCAGACTAACTGAGCTGCTTGAGGGCTGCAGCACGGGCACAGAGATATTTGTGAAGCAGCAGCAGGAAAATCAGACACAGGCTATTTATGGCCACTATAAATGGGGCATAGCCCCTGATAAGAGACACTTTTCAGGGGAAACAGCCACTAAATTATCTTCAAGTGAAGCATGCCTGGCTAGTTCATGAGTGCACTTCTCATTGATGGGCCTGCTGACTGTCTTGCAGCCTACATCATTCAGGTTTGTTCCACTTGTTATCTATCAGGATCCATCTCCTCCAGCCTGATGGAGATGAGGCTTCCTGTAGCCTGGGAACAGTGCTAGGCAAACTGGCATGCTCCTCAGAGACCTCTAGCAAGTATCTTTACACAGTGCTGTATTCAAATACACAGAAGCAGCTGCTCAAGCCAGCAGCGCTTCAGACAAGTTTGCACTGTGCTTTCTTGAGCTCTATAGGCATGCCTTAACTCTTCTCTTTCTTCCACTCTTACTGTTCCTGCTCTGGGAAGCTCGTTGCACGCGATTCTGCTGGCTGTACAGGACCTTCTGCTGTGACAAGCTTTCCTTAGGGGAGCGACAGCTCTCCTCCCTCTTTGCATGAGCAAGGAGTAATTCAATTGAAGATGATGTGGCTTCACACTTCAGTACACAGAGGGCAAGCCATTCCTTCTCGGTCTGACAGTCTGAGATCAAGCACCACAATCGGCCAGAGCCCAAGGCCATGCTCATGGAGACAACTATTTAGTCAGGGTAGCTGTGACCCCCAGGCAGAGCGACTTTCATGTCTGCTGAAACAACTTGCTCTGTCTGCCAGCCAGATCCCCCACACTGCAATAGAAACAGGGTCAGCATTTCTCTCCTAAACAGAAAAACAGCTCATTCACCCCACAGCTGAGCTGTCACCCAGCCTGACTGTGTTCATGTTGTGACAGCAGAGCAATGCGTCACTGCTTCCTCACAGTGCCATTTACTTCAACACCTTATGTAAAAATAGCCAAGTGACTGGACTGGTAATGCTGACACCTACACCCCGAGGAGCCCATGACTGCCCTTCTCCTGCCCTCTGCTCATCCCACACACTGTTCCTATAAAGGGCTGTAGCAAGTACCACCCTGCACTTCCCAGATTGCGAGCCAGGAACAAGCTACAAATACTTCCATGAAATAAATAATTACGTAACTTCAAGCAGATGAAGTCAAAATCTTTTCCTGGTCTCACATATTCATTCTTATAGGCTACAGAGGTGCTCTCGGAAAGAACAGTGCAATTAGATCTTGGATGATTTTTCCAGAAAGAGTGCAAGGAAGAACAGACGGCTGCTCCCTGCTCCACTCATTCCAGCTCCTGGCTGCGCAGGGCAGACAGCAGCAACAGCCCAGTTTTATTTAAGCAAACCAAGCAGACAGGGTTTGACAATAAACAGGAAACAGATACATGCCACCAAAGTGGCAGAGTCATGAGTGGCTTTCCCAGCATTTTAAAACATATTGCAAAATTCACTTGTCACCAAGACTGAAGCCTGTGCTCAGCAAGTCTGTCGGCCTCAATTGTTCAGCTGAGTTATCTGCCTCACTAGGGCTCTTTCCCCCCCGGTTTTAAAACAAATAGAGGCTTAAAATGCATGCTGCAATTCTTCCAGATTTTTAGCTGTAGAAGGCACAGGAGAGGGGCTCCTAATCACTCCTGCTTTCCCTGCTAGCTTGTATATGCCTATGCAAAAGGGCAAGAAATCCACTACATTTATACAAACCCAAACAATTTACACTCCTGTAACACCTTTATTCTTCTGGGAGATCTCATTTGGATGCAGTGCTGGTTGACACCATCTGCCTGAAGTAGAAGTCTCCAGAATACAGGTGACCAAGTGCATTCACGCTTGTGTACAGTTCGCTTGCCACATACAAAATCCCATGCACCTGCACTGCTGCATTTATATATATATATATATATATATATATATGTGGATATGCAAATAAAGCCTTGAACACTCACCAAGCCTTGGCTGATTTGCATGATTATGTGCATTTCTAAAAATGCATGCAGAGTTACCGCAGATGGGCCTCACAGAAAGTGAGCTGAAGACTCTGTTGCTGAGGTATGGCCTTTATCTGACTAGCGCAAATGGACACAGGTAAAGCTTCCAGCTCATTCCTGATAAGAGGCATCTTCATTACTTTCAGAAATCCCAGTAAATGGAAAATACCGAGGAAGTAAAAGATACCAGTGAATATCACTGACTACGTCCCGGAATCCAGGGATTTTACAGCAGCTGAAGTCATCTGTACACAAACCATTACTCTTGTAACCTGGAAAGAGTAATGGAGCAAATTCACGGAGCTCTCTGATGCTAGAAGAGCGTGCAGAGAGCAGGGGTGATTCTTCCACCTCCAAATGTCAAGTATTCGTGATTGTTTTCGAATGTGGGAAAAAAACTGCCAGCAAAAGAGGGTCATTTGAGTACTGTGGTCCAGCTCCCGCTCTCCCAGTCTGGCTATAAAGCTCCTCTCTCCTCATTTCTCCCCACAGTCTCTGCAGAAGCGACATGGAGCATTATAAATGCAGGGAACTTGGAGGTGGCACGTTCCTCTGGAGCCACCACCTCAGCAGAGAGGCCAGCCTGGCTGGGGAAGTGCATGGGAATCCTCCAGCACAAGGGACAGGAGGGGACACCTATTCCCCTGGAGAGCCACACTTGAAGTGTTTATATTGTCGCTGTTAACAGTTCTATTACAGTCTTAAAATGTAACTGTAGAAAACAATGTACATCTAATGAAAGTACCTGCACATTCAGATTACAACTAGGATTTCTAGTAAGTACTACTTATACGATTGCATCCTGTGTTGGCTCATAAACATATATGTGTAAAATGTGTCTGCCAAACAAGGGAAACAGAGAGCAGTGTAAAGACAACTATAATAAGTGCATGAGACAAAAGCATGTCATGGGAAAAGACAGATGTATTTTGAAAGTGCACTAATCACTTAGGAGAACACCCTTTGCCATGGGAAAAACTTCCTGACCATCCTCCTAGACATCATTCACCCTGCTCTTCCTTTCAGCATCATTTGTGCCTTGTGACTCTTCCAATTTAAACCTCTTCTTGCAAAAGATGTATTTTGTAGCACAATCTGAACCACAGCGTGCTGCAATTTGGATGTTGTAAGGTCTCACTATTTTCATACCATTCCTGTCGTGAGCAGTGAATTAGAGCTTCATTGGCTTACGATGAGGTGGCATGCACTTAGTAATGCTCATGTCATGCACCGTCACGTCACGCACTGTGAAAACACGTCAACACAGCCTTCGTGCTGAACGCTAGCTTGCTTGTAAAGAGAGCCCACACAGTAGGAATTTACAGACACAGGCTCTTCTCCAGAAGTAACAGTTATTTTTGTAACAGTGCATCTAATTCCCTCATCAATAGCTAGCAAAATAGACTTTTCTACTGATTTCTCATTATCAAGAGCACTAGTAATGACTTCTACAAACAGATGACACAAGGGACTCCCTTCTACACAAGGGGATGCAGAGGCATTGGCCAGATATTGAGACCTTTACTTTTTCATTTTAAAGTGATATAAAATAAATGATTGCTATTTCTACTGAATATATAAAGTACTCATCTGATTAAATCTGGAGGAAAACTGAACAGCTAATTTAAGCGCAATATTAATGTTAGCAGCATTTCAAAGCACACATTCTCTGTAATTAAACATATCCGCAAACCACTGGAAGCACAAGACATGTTATGCACTACTATACTGTCATGCTTACACACAAGCATGTTAACACAAGCCATGCACAACAATACCTTCAACTTTGACAAGTGTTCCAGTTCCTTAGCAGCACTGAAAATCAACTGTGTACCCTATGATTGCAAGTTACAAAAGAAAAAAAGGGAAAAAAGAAAAGGTTATAAACAAGCTCTGCATCTTTTTCCTTTGAACATGGCAAATTGCTTCACAGATATAACAACTTTACATAACAACCCCCAACACCAGTCACAGCATCTTGACTCCTTGCAAATTCATTACCTAGTGAAAAACCCAGCATTTCACAGAACTGTGGAATGGCTGAGGTTGGAAGAGACCTCTGGAGACCATCTAGACCAACCCCCTGCACAAGCAGGGTCACCTAGAGCACTTGCACAGGACTGTGTCCAGATGGGGTTTGAATATGTGCAGAGAAAAAGACTCTACAACCTCTCTAGGCACCTTGCTCCAATGCTGTGTTATCCTCACAGTCAAAAAGATTTTTCTCATGTTCAGATGGACCTGCCTGTGTTGCAGTTTGGGCCTGTTGCCTCTCGTTCTATCACTGGCCACTACTGAAAAGAATCTGGCCCCATACTCTTTACAGCCTCCCTTCAGATACTTATACACATTGATATGATCCTCCTTCAGTCTTCCCTAGGCTCTCTCTCAAGCTTTCAGCATGAGAGGTGCTCCAGTCTCTTAATCCTCTCGGCAGCTGGACTTGTGCCATGTCCCTGGACACAGTGCTCCAGAGGTGGCCTCACCAGGGCTGAGCAGACAGGGAGGATCAGCTCCCTCAACCTGCTACACGTTGCTATCTCCTGGTCAGCCTGTTGTGAATTTCTGAGTATTCCACATCCAGACCTACTTTAGATCACAATATTCTGCTAAGTGCCTTGCTCTTGCTCACAGATGTCACCACTTAAACAAGATCCACCCTTCAAAGAGGTTGCACAGACTGGGTGTGAGGATGGCCTATGGGTTCACCCATAGTGAGTGGTCCTCTGTATTTCAAGTGGAGTCTAGATACACACAAACACAGTGGTTCTGTAAGCCTGGACAAAGCAGAGATCACCCAGCTGATGGCAATCTGCCCACACTGAGTCAGAAACTGGATCTGAGCAGTTCTCAGGACACAGACTGGCAAACTAACTCCAGTGGACATTACTTCTTTATATAGCAACTTCTTTATAACTCAGAAACCTTGGCAGTGGCTCTTCCTCCCACACTGAGCCTTATTGATGCTATATGACCAAAGAGGGACATTGGGGGGAGATGAACCCCAGTGGCAGGAAATCTTGCTTCAAGCAGTCTGCACTCTAGCAGAATGGATTTTTACACACGCTCCCGTTTTACAACGGTGATAACGTAAAGATACTTTTCCTTTTCCCCACCATGTCATTTCTCTGTTGTATAATACTCCTTTTGCCTAGGGACTCAAGTCCAAAATTAAATTAGAAAGATAAAAGCAACTGATACAGATCTCCAGCCTCTCCTCCCACAGATGCTTTATGGGGTATGCTGGAATTTATTTTTTTTTCCACTTCACTCTATTCTTGCCATTCATCTGTTCTTGCCTTTTTCTTTAAACTGTCAGAAGTGCCCATTATTCCACTCAAAATAAAATCACAGCCTGCTGTAATTCTGGCTGCGAATGGCACATCTATCACTTTATGAAACTTCTACTCTCCAGTCCTCTGGTGTCCAGACTGGTCAGATTTGGTCTGTAGGACTAAGGCATATAGCTCTAGGCAACCACTCCTCTCCAATGGTATCATCATCATTTTTTTTTCTCTTTAGGAAAGCCATAGGTAGGTCAGGAGAGCTGTCCTCTCAAAGATGATTTTTAGCTCTTGTGACTTGTAATCAATTGTTAGGGGCTAGTGTTCAAAGCATGTAGAAATGCTGTCACAGCTATCAGCTGAGAAGGGCTTGGGAAGGCCAGACCTGCGAGCTTTCAGAGACAGATGGACGTGCTGGTGGGTGGCCCTTCCTAGGATGGCCTGATTTCCTCAGGGAAATAAGGATCTTGGGAGAAGGATCACTCAGGATCTGATCATCTTTTGGGACCCTGGCTCCACAAGGGCCACATTTCCCTGAAGGTCTCCAGCAAATCCAAAGCAGAGACCCCTTGGTCAAGCATGGACCCTTTGCACAGTCCTCCTCTCTCATCTACTACTCTTCCTTATTTCAAAGTCCTTCACCCTCTTACTTAACCACAACTGCCATGAATAAGCCCCCTAAATCAATAAAAAAGTATGAAATAACATCAAAATCATTGAACTGTCCTTTCCTCCTACTTATGGCAGTCAGTTTGTTTCATTTACTTCTACAGTTCTTGTTCATTTGTTGCTTTTAAGTCAGCACTCTGTGAGGTAGGAGGTACACTGTACATGTATTTACAAAGGTTAAACTAACATCATCAGCTCCACTGATCCATTTCCCCTGCGCATTTCAAAAGCAGTCCAGGCCTGTTTTCACCTATTAGGTACTTTTTCCTTAATTTTGCCAGTTTCTGAAATTGCTCAAGCTGAAACACTCTGTGACTTGAAACTGTGGACAACCTCCTGATTTGCTCTATCTACAACTACCACTCGGCCCTCACCATTCTTCATCCTTTTATGCTTTTGGAATAGAAATCAATACAGATCGTGATCCTTATTGACTCCATACCTGAACAGATGCTCTTGATAAACACAGGCAAGGGCAAGGCATCCATGAAGGCAGGTTTTGGAAGCTCCAAGGGAAGGAAGGGTTTTTGATTCACAAATAGTCTGTGGACCGTAGGTCCGATCGCCTTCCTAGGAGCGAATCAAGTTCCCAAATAGCGTAATCACCTACAAGCTCGACTCTGGCAGTATCGGATTCACGAACAGTCCGTCAACTGTAGGTCCGATCGCCTCCCCCCAAACAAGTAGTCGAGTTCACAAACAGTATGATTTATTCAAATGCAACATTTACAAAGCAGGTTTCGGATGTCAGTACAGGAAATTCTCTACTAGAGCGTGGGGTTTTAGCTAGCTCTGATGTACAAATGTGCAATCATCACTCACCCCAGAAGATGGGAGAGGGCTCTCAGTCTCGAGTCTCCTCAGGCGGCGTCCTGACACAAGGGGAGGAAAGGGGGATCAGCGCATCGACTGATCCAGAATTTATGATGG